AAACTCTCTCTCCCTCTGCTGACCCCTTCCCTTTCCCTCTCCTCCCTTTAAATATATATATATATATATATACTATGTATGTATGTAGTATATATATATATATATACTATGCATGTAAATACATTTTTCTATAGTCATCGACACACAGAAAACAAAACAAAGTTAATTGATAATGTGTTTGAAGCAATAACTAGATTATTCATTTTCTAAATCCATATTTTTAACTTTTCATATAAATAATGTTCAATATGAAATAATTTTATAATTTATAATCTTTTTCCATTTATTATGAAATTGGCAATAATTAATAAGCGCGGAGATATCGTAATGAGGTATTCTATACGTATCGACATTAAAATATAATTATTCACATCCCGATGAAATGACGATTCAAATCATAGATAATTACAAATGAGAGACAATTTGTATTCTGAGACAAATAAGAGAACAGAGAAAATAATGTCTTCCCTTACACTTGGGAGGGCAAAGAAACGAGACGGAATAGCGTCGTGCACCCCTTCGAAGGGGGTATCCTGTCGGGATAGAGCGTCCATTAAACGTTCCGGAGGCCGCGAATTACGCGAACATAAAGTAGCAGTCATGCATATTCAGAACACTTGGACGGGCGTATATTACACGTGTATAAAACGTTCATCGCGAACATCCATTAAAGCTAAATATCCCTAGTCTGCATTACTAACACATGCATATGAAAATATGAATGTACCAAGCTTTTCGTACCGTTAGGAAACGTCAACACGAGAATATTTTTCAGAATTGTAAAAAGTTCGGAACCTCGCCGAGGAATTTGAGTATCGCCATTTTAAAAAGAACGGCGATGGGATTTTACCTTGAATTCATCACCCCGAAAGAGCAAACGACCGAACGAACGTAACGGCGGTCGCGCTCGACTTTTTCTCGGCTTCGCATGGAAGAAAAAAACAAACAAAAAGAGCGCGACGTGTCTCTGGTCCTCTGCATCGCCTTGCGGTACACCAGAGAAAGAGGAACCGGTAGTGGGTCCAGTTCAGCGTACCAAAACAAGAAGTTTCCGCGCGCCACATTTTCTTGCGTACCGACATACACTGGTAACGCGTGCCTCTGTCACCCTCTCGGCGGCCATCTGCTGTGTTCAGCCGCTTTCATCGAGCAATCGAATCAGCGGAGAGACCACGGTCGTCTTATCGTTGCATTGGGGCTTGATGAAGAGGAATGACCTAGGAACGTCAAAAGACGGACGAGACACGAAAAATAGAAAAGGAATACTATGCTTCTATGATATCAGCGAGAGAGCATGGTCTGCTAAATAGCAACCGACTTTCAGAAGGATGTCTTTTGTACTCGGGAATGCACGTGTGTATATGCGACTCTAATTAATGCGAATTCTTTGACAGAACTCTGCTAAATTTTCAGTCATCCGCTGCACACCGTTGTTTTAGTCCGAAGGGACCTCTCAGTGTGCCAAAATTTGCGATACATGTAACGTTTCATGTGTTCAGTTTCAGACTTCGTCGTGGAGAGTCGATTCGCATTTTGTTATTTTCAAAGCATGCGTTAACGCGAATTGCAGAAGACGTTAGTGATTCTTGGCAATGTGATATCAAGGTTGCTCTTTTAGACTTTTTGTCGTAAGAACTCTTTGCAATCATAGATTGTTGATGTTTAAACCTTCAGTGTTTCGTGTTAATCCTTACATAAAAACACGTCAATCGTCAAAACTGCCGCATCCCTTTCCGAGCAACCACTCTCTTCCACTTTTACCATCAATTACCAAACACCCTATATACATCGAGCCGGCGATGGACGGTCGGCGGTCTCGCCGCTTTCATAGCCAGCCGAATAAAAACTTCTCTTCGAGTCTCGTTCCTCGTTGTTCCCGTCTCTCTTCTGCTTCTCCTCTTTCCTCTCTTCCTCCCTCGCATTTTCCTCCCCTTGAACGAAGAGGAACTTCCTCAGGGAACAGGAGCGTCCAACGTTTGACAGAACAAAAGACTATCGACCGAACTCGTTCATGGCCTTTCTCTTCCCTCAAAGGTAGACCTCTACGGATCCTCCCCTTCATTCTTCCCTTGAAATAATCCTTTCTGTTTACACCTCCTGTAAATACCTTCGCTCATCCTTCGCCCTCCATCCTGGGTGTAAAAGGGTTGAGAAGAACTCGAGGGATGCTCTCCTTGACCAGCTCTCTCTCTCTCTCTCTCTCTCTCTCTCTCTCTCTCTCTCTCTCTCTCTCTCTCTCTCTCTCTCTCTCTCTGCTGTGCGAGTGTGTGCACATCCAAGGAGTCATCGCGTACAAATTACCGAAAATTGGTCCACTTTTTAAGCCGCTCAGACATCCTTCGACGACGGTAACGGCTACGGTTCGTCCCTATTGTCCTTCATCCTCCGTTCTTTTTTTTTTACCGAAAAGGTGGCGCATCGCAACACGACGGACGCGACTTCTGCCCGGGCGCGAGATTGTTTTTATCACTTCGGTGATTTTCGGAACTTAACGCTAGTTTCCGAGTCCTAGAAAATTGGACACAATTTACGCGTCCAAATTGCTGAAGATCGGCGCGTAATTTCGGATATGGCGTTCGACCGGATATCATCAATTACTTAACAAAAATTTTAAATTACGGAGGAGGGAGTCGATGTCTCGCCTGGTATTGGCTGCCCATTCTGTCTTGACATACGTTCTAAAAATATCAGCCAATATTTAACGCTTATGTAATTAATAGTATGTTAATTCCAGGACACACGATGATCTTTGATTCGCACGGATCAGATCACATACGCGATGATTTAACTCTGATGCGATGCGCTTAATAGTGTATCAAGACCTTATTACATTACGTTAAGAGTGTTTCTTTGTGGAAATACCAATTTGCTCGGACGTGTTTCTCGTTACAGCGGGCCCTTCATTACTCGTGACACCTGGACGGCCTCGCGTGTGACTTAACGACGCTTAGCTAATTAACGTAAAATTCGATCGGTCATGGAAGGCGGTCTTCCTTTCTCCGTTTGTATCCCCTCTTGCCAATAGATTGGAATGCACGTGATCGCCAACTCCGCGGCAATCTGTTACCCCAATCGTTACGCCGTTATCTGTCGGAAGTGTCAGAGGTCGACACTCTTCGAGCGAGGCTGACAACTCGTATAAACGCTTAAAAGTGATCAATCAATAATAGACACGGCTCGAGGTGTATGCTCTCGCCGAGAGACGTCGGATCTCGGGAAGTCCAGAACTCGTAATTGATGCTTGGATCGTGTAATTAGAAATGATGAACATTTGTGTGAGACGCTAAACAGGCTTCGAGACACGACCACTGCAAATTGTATCAGTGAGGCTTTGAGATATCGGAAACAAATTTCGTAAACATCTCTCCCCCCCCCCTCCCCCTCATAGTTCGGTTCGACGGAAGTCTCAATCGAACGTGCTCTGTCCAACTTTGGCGTGTACGTCGGGCAGGTCGTTAAGATAAAATCATCCCACCGTCCTGGTACATTGAGCGCGCAAATATTTCTCCCGTCAACGAGAAACAACGGGGTTATTCATTTCGCACAAAAGCCGAGAAAGGTAGGAGAAGAATCGGAAGAGCCGCGCACGAGCAAACGAACGGCAATTGCTTATATTTCACGATGACCAGTCCAAAAGGAGGAACGAGGAAGAACGTCGCCGCCGCCGCGCGCGCGCACCTGCCGGCTCTGTAAAAGGCTTCCTCCGCGGAGAAAATACACCGGGATACCTACGGATACGACCGAAACTTCTTACTCGCTCTCGACTGCCGGCAACCGAATCGTGTGTGCATGTAAATGCGCGTCCGCGACGCGACTCGGGGAGGTGATATTTCGAGGCCCGCCGGCGTCGGGCCCGGGGACCAACGGCCATTGTATCCGCGCTCGCGCTCGCGCTCGCGCGCGCCTGCTCATTAAATATTAACGAGAGTCTCAATTTCTTCATTTCGTTGATGAGTCGCCGCGCACCATCTGAGAGAACCCGCATATAGATTGAAAATTAACTTATATGAGCGCCAACAAAATATATACGGCATGCGGTGCACTTATACGACTCAAGAGGCTTACAATTTACACGAGAGCTCGCTATGTTGGTATAACCCCTAAGTAGAACCCTCGCCCTCTCCTGCTCTTTTCCTTCTGCCTTTTCTTCTTCTTTATCTTCGTCTTATCTTTCTTCTTCTTCTTCTTATTCTTCTTATCCTTCTTATCCTTCTTCTTCTTCTTCTTCTTCTTCTTCTTCTTCTTCTTCTTCTTCTTCTTCTTCTTCCTCTTCTTCTTCTTCTTCTTCTTCTTCTTCTTCTTCTTCTTCGCCGTCGTCGTCGTTGTCGTCGTCATCATCATCATCGTCATCGTCGTTGTCATCTTCGTCATCATATCTTTCTTTCAGCTTATCCCTGCTTCTAGTAGAAAGCACAAACGTTAAATTCTTAAATACCTAATTTGACGCTAATTAGAACTCGCAGTTGCGTTTCGCGAGAGAGTAGCAAAAGCGTGCTCGCGTGCAATAGAAAAGTCTAGTAGTATCTTCGTGAGGTGGCATATGGTAGATGGTGGAGAATGTCCATGGAGAAATATTAGCTCGAATCTCGTCTACGTTGAATTTTAATGAAGGGCTTCCTAAAATCTTCCTTGCATTCGCAATGTCAAAATTTCCACAAGTCATTGAGTGTCTGAATCTTTAGTGCGACCTATAGACTTTTGATCTGCGAGTGCTTGCAATTTTTTTGGGTCAGAAATATGATCGACTTTATACGAAAGAAATAGAAGAAAAATCTCAAATCGTTTCACATACGCGTCTCTTAACAATTTAACATTTTACGATTATTATCGCGACTCATTAAAGAAGCACGTGAGAGAAAGAGAGGAGGAAGGAGAGAGTTTGACTGCATTTTATCCGCCATACTAATTAGAAAATGAATTTATCTTCTCGTGGTTAAATGTTGGACGGAAAAGGTGCAACAAGTTAGAGAAGAGAAAACAAGCTACGTCTATAAGTCGAGACGTACGTAACTGTTTATTATGCGTTACTAGTTGCACTCGAATATAGCACATTAATTTATCTATACAGTTGGAAATAATTGCCTCGCTCTTTAACATGTACACTTAATCATCGCTATACTACAGATACCTAACGTGTGCGATCTATCGATTTTCTCGGTCGAGCGTTACGTAAACGTCAACTTTCGTACGCAAGAGATGCGCCGTAAAAGGATGCCCGTAAAATATTCACAATTTCGATTTATTTCCAAGCAATGGAAGAAAATGTAAATGTAGCAATTGCAATAGAAAATATAGAAATATTTAGAAAAATACACTCAATATGTTTTTCCTCCGGAGTGTTAATAACCTTCAAAATATGTAGATAAATATCTTGGACAATTGTCGCAATCTAACATAATTTCCTTTTTTTTTAATTAACTGACGAATGTCTTGTGTAATTAAGTTGTTGATTTTCATAACGCACTCCAAATTTCCACGAATTATCTTGCGCATTATTTACAGCCCCTCAGACATGATTTAAAATTAAGTGTCAAAAGGATTGACAGTTTAGAAATGAGGGCTTATCTCAATAATGATCAAACTTTGTGAAAATAGTTTGTTCGGTGGTTAACTTCAATGATTCCCCGATATTCCTAATACTTCAATATTTGGAAAAATATTAAATCTACAATATTCTATGACGTTATAGACGCTTGAGGGGTCGAACTTGATTAAAATTCCGCAAATATGCGACATCCTAATCTTTATTCGCAACTTTGTGCAAATATTTGCGTCAAATACGTGTGTATGTGTGCGCGCGTATGTGTGTGTATGTGTGTGCTTCGCATTGCTCGAATTCAAAGATGACGATTTGGAGGAGAGAAGCGAATGTAAGAACGCATAACGTGAAATACTCGTGAAGCGAAGTCGTTTGCTTTCCGAATGGTTCGTGATACCCGTGACAACCGTGCTGCGATTTGCAAAAATATATCACGTTCTTTGAATTCAAGCAGCTCGTTAAAAAATTTGTTTCTTAGCTACGTTTTGGCACGAGCAGAGGAACGCCGTTTTTTAAGAACTTTTTTTTTTCGTACATTTACACCGCTAAATATAAAAATCGCAGACACTTACTTAGATTTTCATCAGGCTTTGCGTAATGTTACCTCGATCGTCGGATCTCATTGATTCTTGCCTTGCGATCTTCTCCTTATGACAATGGAAAGTTCAATGCTATATTTTCGTACTATTCCGTGTCTACGTAATATAGAAATCATCTCGTTGACATTCTCCTCAAGTACAGTCATAATAAATTATATTAATTGTCTATTAATACTGCGTCTACAATTCGCGTCATCGGAAAGATATCTGCATCGTTTCTCGGTATTCAGCATAATCACGATCGTACACAATAGACTTTACCGATGAATATTTAATCGTTTGACTTTGGAGGATATGACGGCGGAGCGAGGTCGATGAAAATTAACCGCGCGTGAAGTCCCGTGACAAATTAACAGGGACAAATGAAAGGATCTCGTTGCACACAATGTACATATCCGTCCGCACAGACGAGTCTTCGTTTAGTTCGGCCGTACAATATTATACAGGGTGTTCTAAACAAGTGCATACAGTTCGTACGATGTATTAGGCAATGTTGACATATTTCTCGCATCGTTTTCAAATTCAGTAAAATACTCGATAAGTTTAAAATAATTTATCAAGCCTTTGTAAAGATTTTTATAGTGAATTGAAGGCTGGAAAACTTTCAGCTGGGAAATAGCTAGAAAATTCTTTCGTCGAGTGTTCTTTGAAGAAAACACACGTACTTGCTACTGATATGTATCTTTTTTGAACACCCCGTACATTGATCAGTATTTGAGAGGCCCCGTCGATCGATAATTATCGATAATTTATCGACATGATCACTAATGATATATCCTTTGTATACATATCTAGATTACATTCTTACTATTCCCGTCTAGTAATCTTTGGTAATTCGGACGTGCATGGAACTATGATTATTATCACTGATTACTTATAAACATAATCGTCCTCAAAGTTACCCGCTAAACTCTATCTGACTAGATCACCTCACCGCGAGGATCTTTCGATGGGCCACTTCCTCTGTAAAGTTCAACGTCGTCTTTCTTACGAGCGCTTTCGAATTACTTATTCCATCCTTAAAATGACATCGAAATCCTGAAGGAACCGATCGTACAGTGTTGCTTCGGTCAAGAAGTTTGCCTTGCGTGAAATTCAGCTGTGTAGAGGTTGCCTTGGAATTGAAGTAGCTATCATGAAAACCACCACGACAAGAATCACTCCGGACGTTTTGGAACACAGTCCAGACCCAAACGTGGCGACCGTTTGCTACAGTAAGTCAACAGAAACTCACGCGAACGTTTATCAGTGATTCTTCTTAGAAACGATAATGGTTTTGTCATCGGCTCGCCGTGTTCCTCGGAATTGATTCGCGAGAAAACGTAATAGTCCCTCATCCAAGATGGCTAGAGAGGCTGCTGTAAGCATCCTCCTCCATCTCGAGTCGTCGTCTATAGAGGTCCGAGAAAGAGACCTGAGAGGAGACACCAGAGTGCAGATGATGAAGAGCGTGTAGCTCCTCCATGGAGGTCGAGGGCATGCTGTTGCTGTCGCCGAGGATGTTGGCGGCCGGACCGACGTTCGGGGAATTGCCGGTGCTGGAGGACACTGGCGTCCCGGAACAACCGACGTTGCTGCCGGCGTTGCTGCTCTCTTGCCGCATGTGGTTCCGTCGCCATTTCGCACGGGCGTTTTGAAACCATACCTAAACAAACGCGGGCAAGATCGAGAGACCGCATTACTTGAGTTGCCGATCGATTAACAACGGTCTGTTCCTTTCTAGAATCAAGAATCAACACGTTGGTGAAACTTAATTTTGCCAGACACGCTTACGACCAAAATAGTTTGATACGACCGAGGAATCTCGATTGCTTCCACTTCGATAACTAACTTCGCGAACATTGCTTCATTTTCTACATGCAAGCTGCAAGTGGAACGTAGATAGCAGCTCTCACCTGCAACACCCTCTTCGACAGACCGGTCTTTTGCGCGAGTTGCTTCAGGTCTTTGGCATCCGGGTTTTGATTTAACGCAAAGTAGGTTTTCATGGTTCGCAATTGATGATGTTTGAAACTAGTACGCATACGTTTCGTCCGCTGGCTCTGATGCACCGGTCCCGGAGAGCCTACGGACGTGTCGTACGCAGCTAGCGACTCCATCGACGAGGACAGTTCCGTGGGTTGCAGCAATTCTGCAATGGCGACTTCTGCTAGAAAGTGTCTTTTTACGTGAATTCATGAAGCCATCGATATCATACGTCTTGGAACCCAAACCTCGAATCTCGTCCGACTTGAAGCTTATAGGCAACATGCGATGGAGAGGAAAAAGCTTCTTTTAGCTTTTGGTACTTTTATCGATTTTTTTTTATGGTTATACATACGAAAAGTAGTATGCTACACAATCGAAAGTTTCGAAATTTGCAGGACCTGACTGTTTAAGACTTTAAAGTTGATAATCAGAGACCGAGACTGTAAAAGGAGTTTTTAAGTCTTTGAGATCACATTGGAGTTCCAAGGACTTGGAAACTGTAAGTCTCTCAAATGTCGAGCGCGTGTCGCCGAGTATTTGAATGTATCCCATTCAAACGCTCCCATTAGGAATTACCATACAAAAATCCGCGAATCGTCCGTGGCTATCTAATATTTCCTTGTCACCTCTACCCATCCTTCACTCCGCAGTCTTCTTTAATTCATGCGTTGGCCGCGTCGGCCGAACGGCATGTCCTTAGAAGGATTTTAACTCCTCCGATGTGTTCCAACAGGTCCGAGGAATCGATTCCTTTTCTTCCCAATACGCTTTCCTTCCCAATTTTCGAACGTAACTGTGTTTTTCCAATCGCTCCCGGGAAAAAGCGAAATGCGTGTCGTTTACCTCGATGAAAAAAAAAGAAATATCCGATCCGGCGGTACAGCCGTTTGCGAAAGCACCTTTTCACTCTCCTTATCCTTTCCGATGCCTCTTCCTCTCTTTCTCTCTTTGACGAACCGGCAGATCGTCAGCAGATTCCGTTGGGAATGGAAGTTCGGAACAATAAACAGTAATGGCGCATACGTGCTCGGGGATTTACTTCTGGGATCCCTTCTCGCCCCTCCCCCTCCTCCCACCTTCGCCGACTGGAACCCGTTCTTCTCCCGATTGAATTTAATGGTTACCCTCGTCGTCTTATTTATTGGATGCGTTCCTTCGCTCCGCCGGCGCGCAACAACTGCAACTGCACACACTCGTCCTCTTTCCTGCAACTCTCTTTCCACGCTTCTTTATCCTCGTTCGCCATAACTCAGATAAATTCGTATACGATGACATAACCGCGAATCGACCGGTTGAGACGCCCGTTCGATATATTCGAGAAAGATACGGACAGCGCAGCAAAAGACGCTGTATTTCCAGAAAATCATTCGTTGCCCTTGAAAGGGACCTATTCGCTTCGAACGGAATGACGCAATAAGAAGGAACAGAAAAAAGCTGCGAACGCCATCGTTGCCAAAAGCCAAAGAGAATGCGCATCTATTACATTTTGCATGCGGATGGTGTAAGAGAGAAAGGAGCGACTAAAAAGAACAAGCTTCCAGTTGCGGCATCGTGGTACACACGCGAATCGAATCGAAATAGGATTTTCCCAGTGCGCGGCTTTCGACTCTCGGCGAGGCCTTTCTGTCTCTCCGGAAAGAGGAACGGCTTCGGGTCCCAGCGGACAGTGACAGATAGGTATCGGCGTCGAGAGATGCATCGATTGGCCGATCTGCCCGGAAAAGAATGCTGCCGTGGCCAATGTGTGGCCACTTCCAGCAGAATGGCCGGTCGGGGCACTATAATGCCGCCTGCGCGAGTTTCTTGCTTCGGTATTGCCAGCGGGAATACCTCTCTCGTTTCTTCGTTGATCCTCGGTCCTTGCTTTCGACGATTTTCGCTTCTAACTCTCCCTGACAAATTGTAATCTCATTCTTATACCGCCAAATCTGCGTGCGCACGCGCCCTCTTTCCGCCGAATTTGCTGGCCGGCGGAACTTACCCCCGAGATTCGCGTGCTCTCTCTCCGTAGCAATGTCAGCAATGTTCTCAGTTTTGCAGCAGAGTGGGATAAGACAGATTTCAGCCGTACATACAACACGTGTGAACGTTACACAATAAAATTCTTGTGTACCAACGTTTTTCTCTTTAAGATTCTTTAGGATCCCACGAGACACTTGTATTCCCACTTGTATTTAAGGGTACGGGAAATTTTGGATTTCCTCCGATTCCCCGGCCTGTAACGATTTTGTAAAATTCGATTTTTTTCGCTTATCTATTTTTACGCGTAGTGTGCCAAATGTAATATTACGGCTTCGTCGGAAATGATCGAGTCAACATTCTCTTGATTCGATGTTAAGGACCGATTGCTATGGGACTGAATCTCCGCCGTCCACCGTCGGTCGCCACGTCTAGCTGTGGGATAGCTTGAGATCTCGTCGGCGGCGTGTCTCTTTCGCAAAAAGTGTCCCAATTATATATAAAGACAATAAAACAGCAAGGCTCTTTCTCCCATGCCGGTTGTTCCCACCTGCAGTTGCAGGGCATAGGACTTCATGGGCGATTTTATGGCTGTTGGTCGTAAATTCCGACCGGTAGTCCAGCGAGAGTGATCCTCGCTCTTGTCGATTATAAAATAGTTTGGAGTCGCGCGCGCGCGCGCGCGCACGCTGGTTGAGTCGCATCGCCATCTTGGCCTGCGTTCAAACCGAGACGATCATAAAACGAGCGAGAATCGTATCGAAAAATGTGTGATACCAGCGTGCCAGTCGACAAATGACATAAGACGAGAGGACACGAAGGAAGAAATTAATGGCTTCAATTTCAATTCGACGGAAGAATCTTTATTCCGCTCACCTCCCTCGTGACTAAAACCACCGTGAGTGCTTTCCTGTCCGTGAGTCTCCTTCATTGAATCGCTCCTGTCGCAACGATTAACTTCGTGATTCGCATAAGATCGTTTCAGACCACTGGCATGCCAGTGAGATTCGTGGAATCATCCGGTACGATACTTACATTATGATTTTATACTGCCCATTACTTTCCTTGTACTCCTTTTATGTTACGATTTATTATTTACGAGTTATTATTTATTCGGACGAGGGGCTAAAAGCGATTAGAAACGATAATTAGAGCAATGGAAGGGAACACATCGGGAGCAAGGTAAATCTCTGTTGTAGAACTCTCGCACACATATTGAATCATTGAGCGGCTAGCATCTGCGTAGCGCGCGAGAATTCACCGAAGAATTCCACCCGTCGATATTAAACACGGTCCGATTAACGAGCCGAATAATCGCAGACGATATGAAATAACATCTGAACAACGGGTTGAAGGACCGAGCAAATGTTTGTACGAAGAAACGCCCCGTATTGCGTACCCTTTCCTGGGCAAATAATGCAATCGCGCCGATTAGCTTGTTTGCTCTAGTGTGGGCTAAAGAGAAAGCATGAAAGAGAAGTAATAGACCCATGGTCTAAATTGTTCTCGCACTAGTAGAAAAATACAATAAGATTTATAACATTATGTGAGAACAATGAAAAGATGAAGTGATGCAATTGAAGGGGATGAAAAGAGTATGGCGTATAACTGTCAAACACAATCGCGTTATCGAGTGATTAGAATCTTAGATGAAAATCGTTCACGATCGTACAAGATCGCGGAACATACATTGGCTTGACTCACCGAGCGCTCCAGCGGCCAGCCTCATCGTGACGGGAAACTCGGAGCCGGTGACTTCAGACAGTTTCCGCTTCCTAGGCCGACCCTTTTGCACCGTGCCAGAGGAGGCTATTGGATTCTGCTCGTAGTAAGCTGGTAGCGGCGACACTCCTGGTGAGCCGAGATCCTCGATGCTACCAGCAGCACCTCCGTAATCCCCAGCACAGCACAGCAACTCGTAGTGAGGTCTTGGGAGCGACGTGCTCGTCAGTCGTCAACCTCTCTGTCAAGTAGTCGATAGACGACCTGACCTCCGCGTTACATGTCGAGTTCGATGAACGAGTTCGATTTCGTAAACGTGTTCATTGGATTTTGTGGGGTTGGATTTAGAGAGCGGTAAGGCTGAGGAATAGTTAGAGAGTCAGTTCATTTAGCACATTGTTCAGATCCGCACGCATCTCTCTGTTCTTGGAATTTCGTTCACTAGAAATTATAGATGCAGATTAGATGCTGAGTCTTTGAGCCTACGGAGCTTTCAGTCAGAATTATGGTTCAAATTCTCTGTTATTCTTAGTTGTCCTTTACCTTTGCACTTCATGACTATGATTACGTGACGTTTCAGCTTCCATAAACCCTTAAATCATATCGATTTCCTTAGGCTTTCGCGTTCATAAAGCATCCTTGTGCAACATAGTTCACATCGTTGCGAACGTCTTCTCAGAACCCGGGACTCAATTCATTTGTTACAGCTACCATCATTAGCACTTGACAACTGTCATTAGCGCGGGGGAGGGGTAGGTGGGTGAGAGGAATGACTTGGTGCGATAAAGTGCTTCATGCTGATGTTAATCTCGTCATCGAACTCGTTGATAACAAGGAGAGACGGCCTTTGAAGGATAGTAATGATCAGATGCTCGCGTTTCTCACCTACAATATACCAGTCCATCCCGCTGCCCGAAATGGTCGCCTTTGTTCAACGGGGTGCCACAGGAGGCGCAAGTGAAACACGCCACGTGATATACCAGCTCGCGAGCGCGCATCACCAATTCCGAAGCAGAAATACCGGCGCGACATCGAGAGCATCGGGATACCGCGAAGAGCCTGCGATCAGAAAATTTGACGATTAAAGAGTTAATCTTCACCACCTAAACCTTCCTAATAAGTGATTCTTATCCGAGAACGTCGTCAAATCCTGTAACTTCGCTAGAGAGACCCTTTGAGCTTATTTTCAAGCCAAACATAAAAACTTGAAGATTTGAAAGTTTCAAAGTTTCAACACACCATTTTTACCGTGAATCATTGTTTAGATTGTTATAGTGTCGATATCAAACAAGCAACAATTTAATTGCAATGACGTTCAAATTTTAAAAACCTGAAATATTCTCTCTAACATTTACTGTATTAACATTTGCTGTATCATTTATTTTAGCTCTGCCCGTGTTCAGGATTTCTATTAGAAAAGCTTGGAAAAGATACGTTTGGGATCCTAATGGTACAATGCATTATTTGCCTTGCGATTGTTGCGTACGTATTACGAATTCAGCTTGAAGTGAAATTCGCAAGCGATCGAAACGGACCATTCGCATTCACGTAGACAGAAACAAAGGGCTCGCGTTGTTGCATATTGCATGGACGACGGCTGTTGAATTCCTCCCTTGTTCGCTCTAACGAACCCGCTTTTCAGTCTTTCGTTCTACTCTCATCCTGAAATACCGGACACCCCAAGCGCATTATTCCGTGTGATATATTTATTGATTTATTTGTGTTCATATTTGAATTGCTTTTGGCGTGCATCAGTTTTTCATCTTGATGCTTTAGCTTTAATCCAACTCTATCTTTTACATCAATTAATTTCCATACGTCGTCCAGAGTAAGAACCGTCGCATAATCTTACGACAAATCACATGGAAGACGGGAAAAATAACGAGGGCGAGCATCACACAATTTGCAGCAAATGCAAATGGCACGACAGACAGATAGAAAAAGAATCGACACATCTTGCAATTTCTTCCATCTCACAAATCTAGTGAATTTTTCTCCAGCGAGAACGTAGCGCAACCGTTTCCTGGCTGTCTCTCGCTGCAAGCTCGAGCATCACGTAGTTTTGTCCGCTTTGAATCGCACTAACCTACAGTAATCCTCCTTGCAGTAGATGTTGCCGTCTCGGGCAAAGCAGGTGAGCTCAGCGGCGAGAGGGACTCGGCAATGGCAGCAGCGCAGGCAGCCGCAGTGCCATACGCGATCAGCTGCCTTTAGATACCAACGCTCGGCGATTTCCCTTCCGCAGCCGCCGCAGCCGAGAGTACCTTCGGCGATGCTGACACCGCCGCCACCACCTCCGCCGCCGCTGCCGCCGCCGTTGCCACCGCCGCCGCCGCCCTCGTTCGCGCCGACCTGCCGATTGTTTGTCCCGCCGCCGTCTCCAGGCGGGGGTGTAGCGCTCCCGCAGCCAACTTCCTTCAGCATTTCCCTGGCCGCGCGCTGCTACGACGCATGCCGCTGCATTCTACAAGTGGTTATCGCAAACTCTCATGACACACGTTGCACATACCTGAGAACTGAGTGTAACGTAAAACCTTCGACCTGGCTTAAGTAAAACTTAAGAGATACGGGAATGGTTGCGCCACGCAGTCATACAAGGCGATGTGTTGGAGCTGGCAAGCGCGAACTTATCTCCTCATTTTAGCAAAGAATTAATTAGCTGATGGAATGTAGATGTGTGTAATGTGTGAATCGTCAGTTGTTTCGGGCAATACTTATCTCAAGGGAATTGGGGGAAAGTGTGTTATACGTTATAATTGATTTAGCGAATGATAATCGAAGCTTGTATCAGTTTGCCAGTCATTCGCTCGCGATGTACGTTACACGGTACATTACACGGCATTTACACGTAAACTCCCAAATTATGGAAATTATCGCTTATCATAGTATAATCTGATCAGTTTATTCGCTAGTGGAAAATCTCCTTCCGGGGTCTCCATCCTACAATAGTAACGACGAGTTTGGGGTGTCTTGAGTAACCTTACGAGTCATGCCTGTACGCAGGTATGTTCATTCAGGACACGCTGCCCGGTTGGCGTACGCAAGGAAGAACCGATGAATGAAAACAATTCGTGGTCGGCGACCCGTTAATGAACGACTCTCGGTTTCGAATCACGGTCGCGGTGCTAATTAACGGAAGCTCTCGCAAATCGCCGCAGTAACTCAGTCGGGTCTTTTACCAGTCGGCGTGCTATTTCTGCGAGACCAATGCGAGGTGTCGTCCCTCGTTACGAAGATGTCAGGGCCCTTACGCAATGTCAGTTAGAATGACGTGCGTGTGATAATTTGCTGAGCAAGTGTTCGCGATACGTCGGAGAATAAGATATATTGTTACTAGATAAAAGATAGAGAAATGAGATGAAAGAGCAGCCCACAAATCAGAAAGTTGTCGACTCGTGAAGCTAAAGTATTATTTTTAGTATTATATTTGTGTAGAACATTTGTGCAGTGTGAATTCTGTATGAAATTCCTCAATACTTTTAATATACGTGGTGAAACGTTTTCTTAAGGAAAAATGTGCAACATTGTGTAGGAGCTAGACGTCGTGTTCAATAAAATAACCGAGCATAACTAGATATTTAATTGAAATGGAAAGAAACAACAATGAATTTTGAGACTCGACTTTATTCTCCGTCTTAAGATTTTGGACATGAATGGAATTTCCGAGGATTAATCGAGAAATGTAGTATAAAATTTATAGGTTATAACCAATGAAATTTTGTATTCGACGTTACATTTGGAATTTATATCACTGTTTGCACCCAAAATATCAAGATCCATGAAAATACTTTTGCTTATTTCAGTCGAGGTGGACACCAGGACTCCCCCGACTAATTTGAACAATCGCTTCTTTGCTTACTCACCTGAAGTCGGTTAAATAGTCGAAAACCCGACGGCAAATTCTATCGTCGGCTATCTTTCGCTTCTCTGCGACAAAGCAGTCGTTGAATTTATCTTCGTCCGACTATTTCCATCCAAATCACGGCACCTTAGACCCGTCAATTCTTCGAGAGTCCAGCTCGGTTGTGTCGCGGTTTCAACGTCGGATATTTCGGCGCTCCGACAATCTCGGCTGCCTCGAGCCGACCAAGCAGTTGTTGCGGTCATCAATCATGAATCATCTGAACAAGAGAAAAGCCGCGGGAATGTAGAGTGAGGATAATTCCTCTACATGACATTGATTTGCCATTCCGCGATAATAGAATCTCCGCGACGAGATCTGCTTGTATGACAGTGTCAGCAAAGTTGTGTCCACTTCAGATTGTCGTCTGCGTGTTACTTGCGAATTATTATCGAGAGTCACCTAGCTAATGATTTCATTTACAGGAAATTTACAGGAATAAACTTTCATTTACAGGAATAAACTGTTGCATACAATATTTTTTTAAATCGCGAATTCTCAACTTCTAAGGGTTAATTGGAAAATCCTAAGAACTGTACAGAAGATAGTAAATATTCAAATCGCGCGATATACCAAACACAGTTAAAACATAATAAATATGCAATAAATGATAATTATTTTGCATCAAATTCCTGATTTAAAAAGATCGACAAGAAGAAAGGGAATACTTCGAGCATTCTTAGGGATAAGCTTGAAAAAGCTCATTATGTTTCAATTACTCAATTATCGTTGCTGATTATTCAAGGTGAAATATCAGTTAACTTAATCATTGACACACTTAGGAGAAGGCACTGATTAAGTTGTAATTGATAAGATGCTGTAGTTTTAGGTTTTCTCTATCTAAATTTTTGCAGGTTTTAGAAATCGAATTTTCGAAATTTTTACTTTTTAGGTTTTTAGATTATCAAAGATTAGTTGAATCCTTATAGATTCTTTTTTCCACCAAACGTAACTCGTAGCAATCCGAATCATCACGAGCCGTCGGATAACTTGCGTCGCACAACTTTCAACATGATCCTATTCTACACCCACCAGTTCATCCCTTATTTGAAGCACCGCACCCTCATTGCACCTCTCAATTCTTCCGATCTATGTCGATTCTTCCTTCCTTCGATCTTCGAGATGTGAGACATCAGTACGTCACAACACTGCTCACCGCACTAGACCTAACCTGTCAAATGCCAGCACTCCTTTTACGCTTTCCTCGTGGTCAGTGGACACGTCAACACGTTTAACTTACCATTGAACAGTCAGTGGTCGATGAAAATCCGGGGAAAAAGAGTCACGAGGGGGGAAAGTCCACGGACGATGCGAGGCAGGAGAGAAACTCCTGGACCGGGTCTTCGCGAATTGTGTCGAGTGCGAAACTTGCGAGGGAAATCCCGCTGAACTGGGAAATCGGCGAACGCGAGCGGGAGATTTACGAGCGGAAAACTTGCGAGGGAGAAATTTTCACTGGTGAAACCTGCGCGCGGAAAACCTGCCTGCGAGCGGGAAACTGACGCGCCGGAAATCCGCGAACGGAAAACTCGCGAGAGCGGCACGGTGCGAGAAGGAAGTTCGAAAGACGCGATAGATTCGTGCGAGAGGGAAGCTGCTCCCCGTCGGCATAATATTACGATCCTGGAACGGCCACCCAGGGCCAGGGGCGGACGTCGCCACGGCAGGGAAGCGGGGTTGACCCCTTCGTGCTGCGATCTCGTCGGGCGGTAACGGCGGGGTGGGGTTTTTGCAGCCGGTTTGAGGGGTAGAGACGTCGGGACGCCGGGCGTCTGCGCGCTGCGCCGGCGCCTTTGTAGCTTTCCCTTTGTCTCTTTCTACTTCTCCCTCTCCCTCCCTCCCTCTCCCTCCCTCCCTCCCTCCCTCCCTCCCTTTCTCTCTCTCTCTCTCTCTCTCTCTCTCTCTCTCTCTCTCTCTCTCTCTCTCTCTCTCGCTCCCTTTGTCTTCTATGTAAAAGTAGTTCACTCCGTCGCATTTCATCGTTGTCTGCCTCTTGCTAGTGTTGGCTGGTGGTCGTCGTTGGTATCATCTATGGACGTGTTATTACTGGTATTGGTGATAATGTTATTTGTCCGGGCATCGCAGCATTTTCCTGGACTTCTCTAACTCGGCAGATATGCTGCTCGAAACGTCCTTGTATAATTTATGATCTGTTCGTTCGTATCTTTCCGCTTTTGGTTTCGTCTGACCTGTTTCGTCTGCGTCATCTTATTCTCCCACAATATGATAGGGCTTTGAGCTTCCTTTAGTTATCATTGGACTCATCTCGACATTATAGATCCATTATTTATAGATTCCATAGCGCGTAGGTGAAAATTTTCAAAAATTAGAAAAGTCCGAAATTTTCGTGATTTAAAGTTACGACTGTTAAAGGTTGCGAACCGTTTAGTTTACAGGGGGATCAAAGACTAAAAGATAGAAGAAACATATTCAAAAGTCTGTGTGCGTGTTTATATTTCTGCGGAAGAGAAGGAAAAAATCGATTTAAGTACTTTGGAGGAAAGTACTTTGTGACGAATCGATAAGCCAGAGCAAGACGAAACACCGCACGAATGGTTATTGAGTTACTTCAATTTGCTACAACATTTGCTTCCAATAACATCATCGATTTCGTGTTTCTAGGAATATTCTAAGCTGCGTTAAAGCTACATTCATTATTCATGATTAGCTTAGTCGTCCACGTCTAGGTCGCAAAGCGTTCGCTTGCGCGCTCACATTTCACTCTCAATTAATTTGCAATCGGGGGATCTCGATGGGAAGAGCTCTTGGGAAGAGAAATGACGTGACACGCGAGTGGTTAGTCACTCGTCAGTCACGCATACAGGTACAAATTATTACTTAAACGACGCCAGCTGGCAAAAAACGTGTTCCCGTGGCAATTTTAATATCGACACCGGTTTGTCACTTTATCTCTCTGTGGAGGACTGTGACCATACAAATTGGTCATTTCTCTATCACCGATTCGATAAACCTTACACGGAATTATGTTCCTATTTTGGGATATGATTGTGTTTTTATGTATTTTTACACGCGGAAGACGTTATGTATTTTTACGACGCTTGGAATTCTGAGATTTCACTCGCAACTTCAGGTTCTTCAGGTGTCATAAAAAATATGACATCAAATTCTTTTAACTTCGCGATACATTTAAGTTAAGTCAATGAAGCTTTCAACATCTACAATTTCAAATATTGACTTTTTAGAACTCTTTTGAAAGATGAGATTTTTAATATTCATAACATCCAGAATATCCGTCAGTCTCGGATTTGAAATAGAATTCGAAGAGCCTTTGCAGTTGTGGTTGAATCTTGATATATACTGCACGATAAAAATAAGGTTTGTTAGTATAAATCTGTGACGTGTTGCCACTTAGCACACGCACGTGCGCGACTCTTCACGCACGGCGTGAGTGCCTTTTAATTGTAGTTAAATAACGTGAGTGACAGTTAGATACATTGTCCGCCACGACCAGTTCTTTTAGATTTGCCTGATTTACTCGCAGCCAACTATATTTGGCCGAACCGGCGGCAGCAGTGTGCAAACCAGTGCACGCGCGAGCGGCAAAGCGAAAATTCATTGCATCTCCACGTGACAGAGTCGTTTCGCTCCTGATTCCCATTAGGTTTCATTAGTCCCATTAGGCTCATTAACCACGGGTGGTACGATCAAGTTGCCTTCTACAAATCGAACTTCTCGTTAAACGCGAGTTATCGTTAATCTTGCACGTCGTCCTATCGGACTTGTAATTTAGTTCGTGATCAAAGATCCTGAACAATAAGGTGCAAAATGCAACTTTGGGATACCTGAAAGATTTAGGGTGATCGAGTGCCCAAATTTATAGACGCTGCCCGTATTTTTAGATACCTAAATATCCCAATTCGCGGATACTATATACTTAATACACCTGATACCCACATATCCAGGATTGACACTACCAATAACTATTGAAAGTATTACCTGAATAGTACCCGAGCAGCCAAACTCATGGATGTTACTTGAGGGTGATACCTGATACCGGGTAGTTCCCGAGATATTCGTGTATTCAGTATTGATGTCATTACATGTAATGTGAAATGATACTTAACTGTGATCACATAATTATATCCAAAATTACAACAAAAGTTTTCCCTTTCATTTGATTCCACTTGCGAAGGTTTTAAGAATAAAATTCTGTAGCCATTATGATCTCGAACCACATTATTCGAAGTTAAAGACCCCCTAAGTAATAGAGTCAACTTTTTTAGAAAGAGTTCTTTACTCAAAATTTCCAATTTACCCGAGGTTTCATTGAGTCTAATTCAATCACGTATAATTGTTGCCTTTCTCCCCGGGATCTCAGACAGTTCGAACGACGCGAGCGACAGAGCGCGTTGCGCAGTGCGTCATGTAAGAAAGCTGTCATTGTGGTAAAGGAGGAGAATGCTGTCATATCGATCAGAGACTCTCCGGACGGATAGACGGTTGGAAGCAATACTAACGAAGAAGAAGAAGCAGCAGCGGTAGCAGCAGCCAAACCAAGCGCTGGCTTATCTCCCACTTGCTTCTCTTCCTCATCGGCTTCTCTCGTCTCTGTCTCTCTGCTGCCAGGAAGGTGAGGGTACGCTAACTTCAGTGCAGCCTCTGTGAGGTGCGGCCCTCCGACGCCCGCTCGATAGGAACCTGCTTGGTGCCAGCCAATAGCGATTCCAGCGCGACGATAAAGCCGTCGTCCCATTGGTCGATGCGCCGGTTTACACTGACATCAGGGGAGACGAGGAACAGATGGAGATGGAAATGCTCCCGCCAGCATCTCGCGGATGCTGCCGAGAATGGGAGTCATCTGGTGGATGCTGATGGAGGCTGCGTTATTCGGCATACGAGCAGCGAACATTTAGAATCTGTCATATCTCTCGTTCTTTTTTTTCATCTTGTTTTCAGCCGAAGGCGAAATATCATCGGAAGGACATGTATTGTGAATGAATGAAGTACATGTGCAAGAGATGAGGCTTACTTTATCGAACATAGTGTTCATTACGAATAGGCTTATTGGACGTAGACTTATGTACTTTATTGGACATAGTGCTCATCACAAATGGGGAGCAAACGTTCTATTAGGGATTCGTTCAAGTGGAGATATTCGAGACCGCTTTTTGTGTGTGCGGATGTGACATTTTAGTAATTATTGCAATCCTTAGTGGTGTCAATTCTGAACGTTCTAATATCTCGAGAGCTGTCCAAATACTCGTAAACTAGAGTAGTATCCGTAAATTGGAATATTCGAGTACTATCCAGATATAACCTGAGATAAAATATTACCCGAGAGCTCAAGAACCCAAGTAGTATCCAATATTAATCAAAAACCCATCAATCTGGATAATACCCAGTATTATCCAGAAACCCAATAACTCAAGTAGTATCCAATAGTCTGGGCAATATCCAATAATCTGGGTATCTGAATAGTATTGTAAGTTTAGGTAATCAGCTGGGTACACTACCCAGTTATCCGAGTATATAAATATCCGATATATTGACAGAATTATTTGTTACTTCCCCATATGGTAAAAATTTAATTTGAGTAGCAAGACCCTTTGCTACTGAAAGTTAGCAATAGATTAACAATTGGGCGTATCGGGCAAGGTCATAGTCGTTCTTGCTACGATGCCTAGTGAGTTACCGCGTTTATCATCGTGTCACCAGAAACTGTCATTTTATCAGGTTGATACAACAATCGCGATCATGTAGGCACAATCCGATATTCACGAGGATGAGGTGCATCTTCATCATCCATTTATCCACTCGACCGTAAATTTATTCCCAAGCAGTCTACAGTTAGCTGTTTCGACGAACGACAGAACTTGCTAAAAAGATTGCCGCGTCATCGCGGAATCCTCGGCACCATCGATCACGACGGAAATGACACCGGAAGAAAAAGACTAGCGTTCTTCGTCTGCAAAATGGAGAATGTCGGGCGTCGTTAGCCACAGCGGGAATGGTTCCCCGTTAGTCTCCGTTCAGTGAACAAAAGTAGGTCTTTCCCTCGCTGCTCGGCATGAAAGTAATTCAAGACACCTGGCAGGAATGGTTTTAACGGATCCTTAGGTCGGCCTCGGGAGCGTCTACGAGTGCGTGGTCCCGCGTGGCGCAAGAGAGACAGAATGAGAGAAGCGCGAGGTACGAGGGGGCTCGGTTGCATTATGTAAAATACGGCACGGCGCGCTCGCTAGGTTATCTCTCGGTGTAAGAGTAAATAAGTGCAAAGATATAACGGTTAATTTCCGCGTTAACCGCGTTTTATCGCGACGTCTATCCGCGCAGGCAGCAGGATGCCGCTGTTCCACTGTGAATCTGCCGTGCTCGCTCCTTTAATCGCACGCGTGTGTGTTCGCGTCGGCATGACTACGTTGCTTCACACGCGCGCAGGATGACTTTTTTATCACTTTTTTCTTTGCCGGTCGGGTAGAAAAACGAGAAAACACACGTCCTTGCAGCCAGCGAGGACTGAAGCTCACTCGTGTGGTCTAATCGACGAATTTACGAAAATTTACGAAATATTAATTATACATCTTTGTATGTCTGGTAAACTGTCTTCCGTGAACTTTGTCAGTTTGTCCTGCCTTCTTTGCTTCTAAGCATCAAAGTACTCCTAAAATCTATTATCCTTTCTATATCTTGACGCCTGGAGACCCCCTGAGCTCCTCCCGGACGCGCAAAGATTCTGCTTTCTCAGAAAGCAAGAATGGGAAAGAAAGAAAGAAGGAAG